GCTTAAAAAACTGGAGAGATTCCCCCCGCACAGGAAGGGAGTTCCGATAGCGAGCGGTCAAACCACAGGGCAAATCCTGACTTCAGAGCATCACTCTGACTACCTTGGTGGGCGGCCCCAGAGCAGCCGCCTGTGGTGGGCGGGGTCTGAGGAGCCCACTGTGGATGTGGACCACGTGGTTACCCTAGCCGGCAGCCCTGCTGAGTTTTCACTGATGGAAGGTGGGCCTACTCCAGGTCTACCCCCAAACCTTCTTTTCTTTCTGTCCAGATTGGGAGCGAAATGATCTGACACCGCATTTCGCTTTTTATATCACGTTTTCCTTCTAAGACTTTGGTGAGGACAGGACCTGATACCACACAGAGGCTTCTGCATGCACATAAGAACACTGAGATCTTCCGGGACCCCTACTGTGTAGACAGTGCCTGCCTGCTGGCTCCCGAATGGGTCATCCCTCTGTCTCCCGTTTGCTACCTTGGGACACCTGAGTGCATACTAACAAAAATACCCGTGATGACAGAATAATGGTCCTCCAAAGATGTCCGTGGGACCTGCACATATGTTACCTTACACAGGGACTTTGCAAGTGTGATTGAAGGATCTTGCTGTGGGGAGATGATGCTGGATTGTCTGGGTGGGCATGATGCACAGGGTCCTTCTAAGAGGGAGACTAAGGGTCAAAGTCAGAAAAAGGAGTTGCACTGAAGGAAACAGGGGTTAGAGCCGTGCCCTTTCGGAGGTGGAGGGAGGGGCTGTATGCCGAGGAGTGCAAACAGCCACTGTAGGCCAGACAAGGCAGGGAAGTGGATTCTCTCCTAAAGCCTCCGGAAGGAGAGCAGCCTTCCCTGACCGTGACTTTGGACTTCCGACCTCCAGAACCGTAAGAGGAGACATTTGTGTGGTGTTAAGCCACCGAGTTTGTGGTAATTTGTTATAGGAGCCACAGGACACTAACCCAGGGTCTAAAGCTCGTGTCCCCAGGACATCCACGAGCAGGACACTGTGGGCCGTAACCTTCTGGCCTGCACCCTTTTCCCCTTTGGGGGTAGGCTGGGCGGGCAGCCTCCATTTTCTTTTATCTTCCTTTGTCTTTTTGCTGTTGCTGTTGTTAATTATCTTGGCTATCTCTCTGAGCCTCGCACCAAAACACGTACCTTTCTGTCTGGTGCGAGGGCCAACGCATTCACGACATGTCACACAAATTGACCTTGCCAGCCAGGGCGGTGGTGTTGGGGAACATGGTATGTGACCTTGACCCAACCCAGCTCTGGCCCGTCCCAGACACGAATGGTCTTGAGGATGGTCCAGGCTGTTCCTTTGCTTCTCCAGGATTCATTCCCACCGTCCATTCTTCCCATTCTCTTCTCTCTCTGGTTTTTCACCCCGGGAAGCTGCTCTTAATCATGTCCCATGGGAGCTTCTTGCAGCTTTGCTCGGTAGCTCTCATTACTCATCTTGTCTCCCTAAATAAAGGGACCTGCGGAAAGCGGGGGCTCTCTGGGGGTGCGGACACAAGAATGAGGGTGCTAGGTGCGGAAATAAACTGCAGAGTTCGAACGGCTTAATAACCCCATAATAGTTTGTTTCTTGTATACAAATGGTCTGAAATGAGTGTTCCGAATAGGTGGGTGGCCTTTCTCATGGTCACGGCCATCTGGGCAACCAGGCTCCTGTTGTGGCTGTGCCGTCACTTAGGCTCTCGCAGTCCTGAGCTCGCAGCCGGCGGGTGGGAAGGAACAATGGAGCAGAGATTCTCACACTTTCACGGCTTCCTGCTGTACAGACCAGCCGAGGGTCTTGGCCAATGCAGATGTGGAATCCATAGGCCAGGTTCTGCTTTTCTTACAAGCTCCAGGTGAGGCTGAGGCTGCTGGCCCGAGGACCAGAGAGGCAAGAGTAAGGAGGATGGAGCAAGGCGTCTTGGGGGAGGGTAGAGGAAGGCAGCTTTTAGGGATGAGGCCTGACGGTGGCATATTTCATACATAAGCCTCACTGGCTAGACCCCAGTTGCACAGCCCAGCTCTCTGTAAAGGGAGGCTGGGGAATGTGGTCCAGCTGTGCACCCAGAAGGAAGAGGACAGGTTTGGGCATCAGTAGGTAACTTCTGCTATGTGGAGAGTCCATGGAGGGCCAACCCCTTTCACCAGCTCCACCTCCAGGGACATGCAGTGCCTTCTACCAGCGACCATGGGGCAACAAGACGGGAGTGGACGGGTGTCACATGGCACCGCCTCCTCAGTGGCCTGCCTCACCCCTGGGACTAGGGTGAAAGAAGCGGGAACCTGGGCTGGTGGAGGGGATACCTGCTTAACTCTTCGCTGCAGCCCCTGGGACAGACCTCAGCGCGAATGTCCCAGAGCTCGCAGGAGGATGGGAGAGGAGTTGACCATGGGGCATCAGGAGGTTCCAGAGGAGAGAGCCAGGTGCCCTTTGCCTCCTCTCAGGCTGCCTTCCTGACCTGTGGGTGTGCTGCTCCTCCGTGGCAGGGACAGCCATCCCACCCTTGTGGGGCTTGTGGGTCGTCACCCCTTCTTTCCAGGGAGACCCCCTGCAACCCTGTGGGGTGTAGGTCAGCAGACAGCTATGGGCATGGATGCTAGCTTCAGTTTACCCCCTGCAGTGGTCCCTTTCTTGCTGCCTCACTGGAGGTTCTGATGGTTAGTGACAACATCCGACAAGGGACATCTTTCCACTTACCCTGTTCTACTTCTAAGCCATAAACTAGGAAACTCGGGGGAAAATGCCGCCTTGGCTCACTTTCAGTGGTTCCGACCCCAGGAGGTGGGTGCGCTTTCTGATTGGTGGGTGGACAGAGTCTGATAGCCATGGCTCAAGCAAGGCTCTGTCCTTATTTCCTTCTTCATTGGTTTATTTGGGGGATGAGCCCACCCGACAGCCCTATGTGGTCAGCCCCAGTCCTGGGAATCTGGGGGGGCAGCTTGGGCAGAGGGAGGGAGGGAGTTCATAATTCTTCTGGTGCTCCGAGTGCTCTTCATGAAAGGAAATGCAGGAAGCCTACTCTGGCCTCAAGTCCAAGTTACTTTCTGGAATCCAGCTTTGGGAATAATGAAGTGGAGGTTTTGAACTTGACCTCTCTCCTCTGTCCATTTTTAACTTCCTTCAGATCCCGCAGGAGGTGGGCTATGAATGACTGGCACCCTCTGGAACCCAAATGAGACACGGATTGCCCAGCACGTACTAGCTGGCAGCTGTTGGCATTTTGGGAATTAGGGTGAAAGAATGAGGCTGCTTCTAGCGGTAGCGGCTCTTTGTGGCCGAGGGTGAGGAGTCATAAGGGTTCATCTGGAACTGAATATTCTAGTGGTTAGAGTCAGATTTCAAAGCCACAGTGGTGCTTCTAGGTGAGCATATTCATCCAGAGTCATCTGAGTTTATCTACTGTGTTTTATGGTGCAGTTTATGTCGTAGAGTTAAGGGGCTTAAAGTCACTGAGTGCAGCCCTCAGAGTCGATCGCGACGTTTTGTCAGACGTGATTTTCCCAGGCTCTGCGTCACCTGCAGTGACGGGGAGCTCACTCTGTCTCTGGCCATCAGTCCCATTTTGCATCAGCTGTACTTGTTAGAGGGCCCTTTACACCACAGTGTGCCTCCCGGTGGTGTCTTCCCTAAGTCTGCCCTCCGAGGCACCTTTATCCCTCAGCTGTTGCCACAGTAACGCTGCCTGACCTTCTGAGGGGGGACCCAGTGCCCCAAGGCAGTGAGCACTGACTCATGATCACTGTCTGAGAGTCGAGTGTGGTTCTGCTGGTCCGGGCTGGGCTTGTGGGCCACGTGGCTGTGCTGCTCACTGCGTGGTTCAGTGGCACGGTTCAGTGCTTCATGCTCGGTTCTGCTCAGGACTCCTTCTCGTTGGTCTGTTCTCCAGCCCGAGCTGAAAGGGGCCACAGCTCCCTGGGGTGCATTCTTCTCACAATGACACCAGAGCGAGAGGGCAAGTCCAGCAAGGGATACACAGTTCAGGCCTCTGCTTGAACTGCTCTGTTAGCATCCTGTTAAAGCAAGTGCAGCCCAAAGTCACAGGATGGGGACTCGCCCTCTGCCTCTTCCACAAAGCCAGAGGCCAAGGACGCAGCTCCAGGGAGGGGTGGGGAACTAGACACAGCCCTTCAACCTGTCAGCGCAACTCCAGCGAGGCTCACGTCCTTCCGAGGAAACAGCCTTTTAAATGCTGGACAAGAGTCATCATGGTTCGGCAAATGGTAATAATGGCATCAACTTTGAGGTTGGAGAGAATCTGGGTCTCATCTCTCTCTGCCTGAGTGACCTAGAGCAAGTCGCTCAGTCTTTAAATAAAATGAAAATCCCCAGTCTCCCCGGGTCATTCTGAAGATGAAATTGAATAACATGTAAATAAGACACCTGACATCCGACTGGCACTTCTTCAAGTGCTTGGTGTTACTTACGCTTCGTTCCAGGCTGACCATCTTCCAGTTGGTTCTCGCATTTCTAGAGGATCTTCCTTGCTGACTTGACTATATCATAATTTAAAAAAATATATATATGTCCTCCTGTGATCCATTCTCTGCGCTGAATACAAGGCTCCAGGTGGAGAATGTTGGAGTAAGGTCACCTCCCGTACTGTCCAGGTCCTGGTTCCCCCGAGACAGCCCAGGCTCACAGGAGGTCATATTTCACCTCATTTTACTTGTGGAGGTCGCCGTTAACTCATTTCCTGGGTTTTCATTCCATGCTTCCTTCGGGAGCCGCTGGCTATAATGTCTCTTCTCTAAATATTTATAATGTGTCTACTTTGTAGAAACGCGTTGTATACGTTACTCTCTCTTTGTTCTTATAACCGCCCTGTGGAGTCGGGTTTCCATCCCCAGTCACAGAGGAGGACACGCAGGCTGTAGTGTCCTCGGGCTCACCCAGCAGGCCCTCCCGCGTGACCCGATTTCTGACCCCCGTGTGGATGGGAGTGACTGGTTTTTTTCTCTCTCTCTCCTTGTCCACTTCCCGCCCCCTTTGTGGGTCTCCAGGGTCCTTCATGATGGTGAACAGCTCCGGGAGGGCCTCTGGCCAGAAGGCCCACCTCCTCCTGCCGACCCTGAAGGAGAACGACACGCACTGCATTGACTTCCACTACTACTTCTCCAGCCGGGACAGGTCCAGCCCGGGGGCCTTGAATGTCTATGTGAAGGTGAACGGCGGGCCCCAGGGGAACCCCGTCTGGAACGTGTCCGGCGTCGTCACCGAGGGCTGGGTGAAGGCAGAGCTGGCCATCAGCACCTTCTGGCCTCATTTCTACCAGGTATGGTGTTTTGCCATGGTTTGACTTTTTAAAAAAGTAATCGTAAATCTAGATCCCTCTTGCCTGCCTAGAGTTAAGTTGAAAAAGGACTTAGCTTACGCGCTTGTTTGACTCGTGTGGACCGAGCCTCTCGTCCAGCCAGGCCCTGCCTCTTGGAGCTCGTGGTCTGGAATAGGAGCCTGGTGTACAAATAATAACCACAGAGTGGGTGTACCAGGCTCCCTCGGATGCTGGAGGGACACAGGCATTGAAGCCTTTTGTAAAATAATTGATGAGGGAGAGATTGTTATGTGATGAGGAAGATGCTGTGATTATCCTGTGTTACAGGTGAAAAAGCGGAGGTTCAGAGAGAGGAGCTAACTAGTCCGACATCCGCCCTGGAAGTGGGGGTGTTTGGGAGAAGGCAGTGAGGGTAGCTTCTAAGGTGAGATGATAGCTAGGCTGAGCCTTGAAGGGTGAATAACTGAAGAAGGAAGGGAAAGGCTTTGGGGTAGGGTCGGCCATGGGCTGGAGGAGTGAGGGGGAGATTTTGGCCGAGCGTGGAAACTCAAGTCAGTTACCGGAGGTTGCCAAGTAGATACACAGGGAATGAAGCCTGCAGGGGTGAATAGGGCGTGGGGGGCTTTGGCTGCCAGGCTACGGTGATTAAATGGCACACGCACACGGGAGCCCACGCAGGGGCTCACACACGTGCATGCTGCCAGGCTCACGGCACACGCGGGGACACCCACATGCACGTAGGTCGGGGGGCGGTGGAGAGAAGACGGGACCTATCAGGAGTTTCAAAGACCCTTGAGAGATGGATTTTAAATTTCACCGGACCCCAAGCGCTGGCCTGCACGCACGGTCCTGTGGATGAAACACAAGTTTAGTGTTCAGCGGTGCTGGTCTCCCCATACTAATGGTTTCTGTGTTTACTTATTAAAGTCATGTTTCACAGTCCTGAAATTGGCTCCATAATAAATGGAGATGCCTCTCTTTCTTATTAGTGACTTTGCGACACCAGGTTCAGCGGGGCCTTGGGGGGAATGTCCTTCTGCCATCCCCCCCCTCTACTGTCTCTCAGGCGAGCAGGTCGGTTCAAATGCCCCTTAAGCCCTGCCTCAGGTCCCCGCTCCGTTCCAGGTGTTATTAATTCTGTTTCATGTTTTTAATGATTCTGAACTTTTCCATCTCAAGATTCTGAAAAAATAATTCTTCATTAATTTTGCAGCCACTGGCTCACTCTGTTCTCTGTCCCCTGCCCTGGTGAAATCACCTTTTACCTGGCACTTGGGATTGTTCTGTAGGCCCCTGACATTTCGGACCCACCTGACTTGAATTCGCCTGGATGCCGAGCTCTTTCTCAGGAATTCCCCGGCACCTGGCACTCTGTAGGGCTAGTAACTTCATGCACAGTTCAGGAGGGCACAGGCCTGGGCCACTGTCCCTGCTTAGGACTCCACCCCATCTCCTCTCTCATCCACCTTCCCCTCTCCCTCCTCCTTGCCTGTGCAGGCCTCACAATTTCAGCCTAAGCAGTCCTTCCCCACGAAAATGCATATGGGCCCCCTCCTAGCAGGAGTCCTCGTGAGCCAACAGTTTTCTGTCTCTTACCTTCGGAGAAAATGTTTGCAGCCCCCTGAAATTGTTGCAGTGCCGATTCTCTGCTGGAGGACTCCAAACGGTGAGGATGAAACAGCAGGTCTCTTAAACTGACGTATCGCACCCTCCCCCAAACATGCATACAACCTGCTTCTTGGAAGGGTTGAGGGAGGCTCATCTCTGGACCTGTCTTGGGAAGTTACTTCCTGGCTTTGCCCAGCAACTCATACCCAGGGAGAGGTTTGCGTCTTTCTGGGCAAGCCCCATCCCCCACACCCCCACCAGGATGTCCCTGAGGATCTAGGGGCTGGGGCATGTGCAGTCGGCAGTAGATTCACATGGCAGCCTGGGGGTTGAAGACTGCCCTGCAGAGAAGCTGGGATTCCCAGCCTTGGCCTTCTGCTCCGGTCCTCGCCCCCATAGCCTGGCGTCGAGCATCGCTGGGTGTCGGCAAGGCCCATTTCAGCCCCACCCCCTCCATCCTGCCCTCCCTGACCCCTGCAAACCGCACTGTCCTTTACTTCTCTGACTCTTCCCCCACTCCTGGCTTTCATTCCTCAAGGGCCTTGTTTTGAGTTTCCTAGAGGGTGCTGGCATCCCCTTGTCCCTTTATGCTGTCCGTCCCTAGGAAATGGATCTGGCCAGGTACTGGGTGGGGTCCTCCTGACCAGGGCCCCCACACCAGAAGCACATTGATGGGGCGATCATCTCCATCCATGGTCTCAGGTGTCTCCTGACTCCGATGATCCAGGTGCCCCAGATGTTCACTGGCCGGGAACCTGGCCTAGGGGTTGAGCGGCGGCTTTTCAACTGCTTTTCCTGGACATATTAGAAGAAGCTCTTTTCTGCCGTTCCTGTTCGTTTGGGTGGTCTCCCTTCTGTGTCATCAACAGTGCAAAGAACCCCGGATGGGGCCTCACATCTCTCCCAATGTCTGCACGTCCCTGGCAATGCTGCCTCTGTGTGAGCCTCGCCTGCAGCGCCTGCTGCAGCCGAACCTGATTCCTCCCATTGTGTTCCATAGCACTCCGCCCCATGGCCTCTCACAAAGGCTTCTCAAGGCCTAGCTCACATTTGGAGGTCTTGTTTGCATGGTCAGGAACTTGACCATGAGCCCTAGATTCCTGTTTAGAACTGTTAAGTACTCCATGTGGCTAAGGCGATATTTGGAGTTTTGGGGCTACGTGGTTTTTTTTTTTTTACATGTGGTTTTTAAAAGGGCGATCCTGCCAACTTCTCCTAGTACCCATCATTTCCCCGTGGCCGAGGCCCGCCATCCTGTAAAATTTAGTAGCACCTTCTGACCACCATTCGAGGTCTCCTTCTTCATTCCTGGAGTTGTGCCACTCAGGATTAGCCCTTGTTTCTGGGAATAGGCTGCTGGCCCAAGGACTTGGGTGCAGGCCTGCGTGCTAGCCCCATTGCAAGAGTTCATTGTTCAGGGCGCCTGCCTGAGCAGCTGAGTCCAGGTGGGCCCTCGAGGGCTCAAGCCCATCGTCATGGACCCCCCTTCCTCTCATTTCTCTCCAGGAAGTACGGTATACTCCCGGGGCTGGGTCTGAGACACCTGGTCTTGTATCTGCACTGTCGACCCTCCACCCCCCAGGCCCTGGGGAGTCTAACTCACAGCAGGTGGCATGACTTTTTAGAAAAAATCTAATTCTGGAGCGGCAGGCCAAGGACAGGACCCTCCTGGCTTTGGCAGATTCTGTGAGTATTCTGCTCTGAGCCATCTGGTGGAGTTAGGGGGCTCCCCAGTTCTGTTCTGCAAGGTGCTTTGTTCTCAGTTCCATTCAAGGCCTACCTGTTGGTGTAAATATCCATTAAACCCTAATTCTAATGTCTTGTGAGTGTTGAGCCTTCATTAAGGACTCTGTGGGCTGTCATGGTCTTCTCCACGCTTCCGTGCCCTCTGCCCCTACCTTCCCTGGCTGCTGTGGCGCCTACAACCACAGGTGCCTCTTTACTGTTGTTCACAGGCCCCCATGTGGACCCAGAGCCCGGCCTCTACCAGCTTCTACCAGTCATGACGCACATCAGCGTGACTGAGTGTAGGAACTTTAGTGGGAGTGTGGGGTGGGACTTACTGGGGACGGTCACCTGCACAGTCCTTCACTTTCTCCCTCTCCCAAGATCTACCACCATTCCCTGCTCTCCCCTCTCATTTCCATTCCTGTCTCCAGAGCAAGAGAAATAGTGTTAGTGACGCTTATCAGTGTCTCACCGTGGGTATTGTAAGCAGTTTAGAATGATGAACTCAGTTAATGGAAAACCGGGACTTTCTTTCCTTTGTTTCCTACAGAATAGCATTCTCTCACATTTGAGAAACCTGAATCTTATCTACCCCAGTGCTTTACAGAAACATTCCCGAGAGGAATTCTGATGAATAAAAGATCCTCCGTGTTACTCTAGAATTCTTATTCTTGCAAAGGGAAGGAGGGGGAACAGCGGACCTGTGGATGTTCCACTGCCATGCATCCATTCTCCCGTGACAAGCCTCGTGTTCGTTCATGGAATATTTATTAACAATTATGGTATAGGTTAAATACTGGGTGATAACATAAGAAGCAGAGTGTTAGAAGAATTTCATTAAGCTCTCCTGTGATTCACTGGAATAAAAGTCAGAATTCTGCTTCACCTGGAGTTCTGGTTAGAGAGAGATGGGAAGCCTTTCACCAGAGTTCGGGAATGAGTGTGGCCGTGTGCTGAGAACCAGGAGACTGGAGTCTCTGTCCTTGCACCTCTGGCTTCCTTTCTGAGTTTTGTAGTTCAGGTGGTCCCGCTTCTTAGGGCTGTTGAGAGGCTGGATTAAGACCATGTAATTGTATTGGAGACCCTTATTATTGTGGTTATATTCCCTGATGTTATTGTTTTTATTATCAATCAGTTTCAGCTGATGAAGTTCCCTTTCTGATCAATACCAGTTCCTCTTCCGGTGTCCTGACCCAATCTGAATCCTGCCCTTTCCAGAATCTTGTTTTATTTGCTCCTCATGCCTTTATAGTCTATGCTACTTCCCCGATTCCTTTCTCTCTACCTAAAATCATGTTCTAACCTCTGCTATCCTAAAAAATAAATTCTCTATTGGGCTTTTAGCCCTTGGCCTTGAGCCCTAGCCCTCCTCCTTGAGCTACCTCCTCCATCTTTCAAGGTGACCTCATCTAGTTCTATAACTTTACATGACATTCAGATGCCAAAGCTCCACATTTGTAACTCTGGTTCCTGAATTACCCGTGAGCTTCAGAAATGGAATGTCAGCTTCCTGCTCAACATGTCCATTAAGACCCTTAATTGCCATCGCAACTTAACACGGCCAAAAGCAAATCCTGACACAGCCGTGCCTGTGTGCCAGTGCACACGTGCCAGTCACATCCTTGTCCTCGTGTCAGTAAATGACACCAGAATTAGCCCAGAAGCTCAGGCTCCGAATTGAAGAATACTGTCTGTGTCTTCTCTCTCCTTCACTCTCCTGCTATTTATCTAACAGCAGTTTTTCCATCTCTGCCTTGAAACCTCTCTCAAACCATCAGCCGTTATTCTCCATAGCTACCCGCCGTCAAAGCCATCCGCTTCTTGTGATTGGATGACTACAATAGCCGGTGATAGGTCTGTTTGTTTCATTCTTTCCCAGCTGCCCAGGTCCCTGTCAGTCATTTCCCACTGCCTGGTCAGGAAGATTCTTTTAGAATGTAAATGAGAGTATGTTCCTTCCCTGCTTTAAATCGTTCAGGGACTCAGAAGAAAATCCAAGCTCCTTCGTATGTCTTTATAAGACCCCTTGGCGTTAAAAGAATTTTGCATTCATGGGTGATTATCATTGTGACCTCATCGTTGGTTATTGCCTTCTGAGGTCACTTGCCAATTTTTCCTGTGGAGAGTTTGTTTATCCTGTTGAATCTCAAGAATTCTCCACGCAAAACAGGTCGTTAACCTTTCTGCTGGCGCACATGTTACAGATTTTTTTTTCAACTTGCCATTTAACTTTTAATTTTGTTTCAGACTTTGTTAACATGCAAAACATACTTTGACATCATAGTTAGTAATAAGGTGTTGTATATTTAAGAAATGTATAATTTTTCAATGATAAGAAATTGATTTTTAAGCTTTTATCGTTAATTTCTAGCTTTAGTGAATTTGGCTAGAAAATGTACAGACCTGAACCTATACGGTTTCTTCTTCAATCCTGTATGATCGATTGAAGTTATACTTTAGCCTGTTATTTGATCTGTGTGTAAGTAACCCATGAGCATTTGACCAGAAATTTTATTCTCTATATTCACTAACATTTGTTTAGTAAATGCACCATTATATACATACTTGACAGATGCATTTTTTCCCTATTTGATTGGTCAGATTCTAAAACATGGGCTAAATAAATATAAATGGGTTTTATTTAAAATATAACTACTATTTGTTTTTTTCATCATTTTCTTCTAAGTCTATTGGCTCATTTCAGTCCACTTAATGGTTTTTATTTTTCTTTTGCTATAAATTCTACTCTGATGCCTTTACATTATTTTTGCAACAGCTGTTTTCTGTTTATTTGTATTTCCCTATTATTTTCCTTTGTTCAACTTGTTATTCTTGAGGTTGCTGAGTCATTCTGTTTAGGTGTTTATCTTAGGACATACAATTAGCCTTCATCTACTCAGACAGCCTGAAAGCTTTTCGCTATTTTAACCTATTTATATTTATTGTCACACATACTTTCTGTTCACATCTGCTCATTTTTTATTACACAATTTGAATGCTTTTATACTCTTTCTTTATTACCTGTATTTTCTGTATTTGCTCTTTTATTGTTTCCCCTGTGGACTTTGACTTCAGCTTGCTTTGAATTATTAAAGCTATTACTCGATACATGGTTGTCAGTGGAAAGGCCTTCTGCTGCGTTCCTCCTCCCTGGGACGGGGCCGCTCTCCACGTTCATGCCTGCAAACTCTCCCCCGGCTTCCTGCGCAGTTTTCGGTGTTAACTCTCTCTGAAGGGCCCTGCCAGCTCTTCCAGAGAGGGTGTCACGCTGGCACCAGCTGCTTTGTGTTTGCCGTGACTGTCATTCCCAAGTCACTTTGCATATGTTGGCTTAGAGCGGCCTCTTCACAGCCATCACCGCCCTCTCCCCCATTCCCTGCTCACTAGTTACAGCAGTTGGACTCTGGGCTCCACGGGGACCCCTGACCCCCGAATCCATGAACCTGGAGTGACCACGTGGCCCACAAAACATTCCACATGGAGGAGGTTTTCTTGTCGGGCTCGTCACCCACCGTCCATTCCACCTACAGGCTGGAACTGAGGAGTAAAAGACAGGAGGGGGAGGGTCCATTCTATAGGCTGGGGAGGTGCTAGAGATGAAACGCAGTAAAGATTTCATCCAGAGCAGTGACACTGATGTCCCAATGATATGGCCTGCAAAACAGTTGCTCCATATGGTTCCTCTTAGTAGCAGGGATGGGATGACATAGGCAGACGTGAAAAACACAGAGAAGACAGAATCAGGAGAGAACATGAATGTGGGGAGCAAGGCTGAAGGAGAAGCCCAGGCAGATTCCCAGATCCCAAGCTCCAGTGATGCGGCAGGTCACAGTGCCAGCCACCGAGGTCCGTATATCAGGACGGACGTTCCCCTGGGCAACGAGGAGAGGGTTTGAAAGGAAGGCTGTTCAGATGGGTTGAAGTTTGAGTTTGAGGATCTATGGGATATTGAAGAGGAAATACAAATCTGCGAGCTGGATGAGTGAGACAGATGTTTAAGTTTTTAAAAGGTCTGGAGTGGAGAGCTGGGCAGGGGGATTATCAATGATTTGCAGCCATTGGAGAAAGTTTGTGGAGAAAGGAAGGAAGGGAGAGACGGAGGGAGAGGGAGAGGGGAGAAGAAAAAAAAGAGAAAAGAAAACAAAAGAGAAAAAAATGAGTAGAGGAGGCCCACATTTGAAGGTTGGATGTAGGAGAGGTCTTTAAAAGAAACCTGCGGTAGAATGGCCTCAGGTTTATCAGAAAAATGATGAGAGTAGAGCGTCACCAGAGCCTAAATAGAAGACAAACTCAAAAAGGGAGAAACTATGATCACTGACAATTGTAGACAAAGGGTCAAGTATTAGTAAGTATAGCAAATGTGTATTGAGAACCTACCACGTGGCACACCTTGTTCTAAGTAGTGTATGAACTCCTTCCACCTGAAAATGTACCCAATGAGGCAGACAGTATAATTACAGGTGAGGGAACTGAGGCACAGAGCAGTAAGGTAACTTGTTCAAGGTCATACATTGGTCATTGGTACAGCCAGGACCGGAACCCAGGCATTCTAGTCCAGAGTCTGAGAAGTACTCTGCCTTCCTTCTGAAAGTAAGATAAAGGTTAAAATATGTCTATTGGATTTAACAATTATGAGGTTATTGGTCTCTGCCATGAGAGCAGTTTTGGGGAGCACTGGGGACCGGGTCCAGATTACAGTGGGTTGAAATTTTACAGTGGGAAGTAAGAAAGGGTTGAGAGTCAGTATAGATAAAACTAGTGAGAATTTTAAATATGATTGATACATAACCAGATTGAACCAGAGAAGAACCTGCTGTCAGAAGGTAGCATTTAAAGTATAAGAGAAGCCCAAGCATGTACATTGGTCAAGGTCAAGACTAAAAGGAAGGACTTGGTGATGCAGGATTAGAAGAGATAGCCAAGGAGAAGCAAGAAGCTGGAAAATGCAGTTGAGGTAGGGGTCAAGCACACCAGCAGAGAGGAGGCAGTGGGCGGTGTTTAGGAACCTGACTTGAATGTAATCTAAACTGCGTTGAGTAGATTGATGGGTAGGAAGTTAGAGGTCAGCCCCTCTCTTGTCTCCTTGCCTCTCGAAGATGCGGTGTGGGTATCTGCTGGCATTGCTGGGGCGCCGTTGACAGGGGAACACCTGTGTGGGGTACGGGAGTGGAGAAGGCAGTCATGTGATAGGCTCGCCAAAGTCGTGATGAGGGTGCTAAGGAATTGGGGCTCCAGATGGGAATGGCATTGGTGATTATCCAGTGTGGGGCGGGCACCCCAGGTTTGTTGAGAATAGAGGGAGTCCAGGCAGGCCTACGATCTCTAAAAAAGTTGAAGTTCAGGGTGCCATATGAGCCTGAAGAGAAGGTTTAAAGGACAGTTGGAGAGGGGCATGGGATGGGAGGCTGTGCCAAAATACAGCAAGTTGGCACTTCCAGTTTCTGGAGTGGAGGACAAGCCCAAGCCTGTGGCTCATGCTGAGTGGAAGACCAGGCCATTGGAATCGGGGAGGTCAGAAGTTGGTCAGGTGGTCCACACAGATGGTCACAGCTCCTAGATGAAGGTAGAGCCTGGATGACAGAGAAAGCTGCTAACTGAGCCATAAAATCTGTGTTGAAATAAGCAGTCTGGGTGGCAGTCAGAATGGAGGATAAAAAAAACAATTATTGTCCTCGGGTTCCCAGATACCAGCGGTTGTACATGGGGCTTAGTTTGGAAAGGTATTGTTAACAAATTCACAGGGGCTGTGTTCCTTGGGGATATAGAATCAAATCAGGATAAATTCTTCTTTTCTTATGGCAGCTTCCAAGGTAAGCTCCTCCCTTCCCTTCATAAGAAGTTGGGGTTTGGCAACAACAAGGAGAAAGCTGCAGATTGGGGTCTCCAGGCCCTATTTTGGTTGTTTCCCTGCATCCAAGCGTTACTTCTGAAATCCATTAAAAATGTTCCACGTGGCTGACTCTTCTTTTGCTAGTCTCCAGCGTGTCGCCTTTCTACCTTGGTTTGAAAATCTAAGTTCGTTGCCGGGATGGCATCCTAGCCCAACACAAGGCCTCTTCAGGTGGTTCTGATGGGAAGCAGAATCACAGAAGGGCTTGGGGCGGGGAGGGTTCCCATGACCACTGCCTACGCCCACCTCTGTGAAATTGACTCCCGTCCTATGTGTGTTGCAGGTGATATTTGAATCCGTCTCTTTGAAAGGTCATCCTGGCTACATCGCCGTGGACGAGGTCCGGGTCCTCGCTCATCCGTGCAGTAAGTCTGTCCCCTACTCCCAGCACAGCCTTACTCCGTGCTGGAGTGGGTGCCTTGGAGGCTGCAGCAGCCCCCCCCCCCCCGCCTCCATTTATTCAGCTCACAAACAGCTCTCACTCCCTCTATTTTTTTTTAATTCTTCAAAAGTGCTTATGTACTCAGTGCAATCAGTCCTGAATAAATCCATAATTTCGCCAGCCTGTCCAATAGGCAGCACCTACAGGAATTTGCAGAGATGGGCAAAACATCCTCGTTTGAATCCCTCTCCATTATTAAGGCAGTCTACAGTCCTGATTGTTTATTAGTGGGATTCAGACCACTGAAGTGGAAGAATTAGCGGGCTTTGGATAGAATTGCGTGCAATTGCCTTAAAAAAAGAATACCACCAAACACTGAGCAAATTAGCACACTGTTCACTCACTGGGAAAAGTACCCCAAAGCTATTAATTTTTTTAAAGTAATTTTAAATACACTCATCAGCTCTGTGTAGGCGTAGAGAAAGGTTTCTCACAGTGTTTAGTACTTATGGTACAGTGTCAAGAGTCCTCAAGGGCAAACCACTCCTTCGTGCCCATCAAGTTTCCCCTTGAACTTCTCTCTCTTTGCTGCATTTATTGTGAGATATTTGAGTGTGTTTGAGCAAGGAGCTGTGGTTCCTGGATTCCGTAAATCTCAGCGGGGACAAGTCCTGGGTGTAGGGAGTTGAGATGACATCATATCACATTTGGTGGGAAGAAGGGCTGTAATCAAGGGGGTGTGCGTGGGGATGGCAGTAGCCTCTAGCGGGGCTTGTTGGGATGCCAGCCCTATTAGTTTGGTAGTGTTCTGCATATTGGGGATTCTCCTTGGTTTCTCGGTGGCCATTTGGTTCCAGGAAGCTCTTAGTAGGGCTCTCTATACTCCCTCGTCTAGCTATGAGTCATGCACACTATTGGCTATGGTGCAATTTGATCTTCCCTCAAGAGACACCGTGGGCCTGTCTCTACGTGCCTTTCAGCCCTTCCATTTTTTGGCTATTCTCATTTCAGCCCCATCCTTGCTGCTTCAGTTGATATGATTCTTCCTATTTCTGCTGCAATGCATTTGTCGGAGTCTTGAACATCATTAGACTGCCACTGTTTGACTCATTTTCTTAGAGCACCTTCTCTGGAGGAAACTGGGACAAGTTCCAAGGGGTTTGAGCCAGGAGTATTTGGGATAACTACGTGTGGTTTTGTGCAGGAGACCCTTCCTTCCCAGAAGTCAGCCTGCATCTCAGGAATGCTGGGATCCAGCCACTTTCCATTACTCTCTCTGGCTTATGTTCACGCCTCCCCTCGGCCTTACTTCCTGAGTCTTTGGAACTTTCTCAGATGGGTCTGGCCATTTAATCATGTCTGGCAAATGTCTCTGCTGAGCCAGACCTTCCTGTGAGAAACATCCCAGAAATGCCCCTACCCCCCTATGCAGGGTTTATATAGCAGATATCCAGATGAAGTCCATTTACCAGGATTAGTTGTCCCCTTTCTCAATCCCTAGGAATCAGTGTCAACTGTCCCTTGGAGTACGAGCTCTGATCTGAGTCTGGGCAGCTGTATCAGGAGACACCTGCTGTCCCTGTTGTCCACTTCAGCTCACTGAGCCCTGCACCGCCATCTCTCTGTAACAAGGCTTGGTCTTCCCCAGCCCCGCACACACCCCATCCTCAGAGAGGACACTGTGTGGTACATCCAGCTGTACTCGTTTTCTTACCCTGTGCCTGAGGCTTGCCCTTGCTCTTTCTAGAAGGTGATGTTTGCTTCTTCCCAGGAGAATCTTGCCTGGCTCCCTCTCCCAGGACCCAGAACTCTGTGTTCTGATGAGATTTTTTTGCCTCTTCCCCGAGGCCCAACCGTATACCTGTCTCTCACCTCAGACTCAACCACCACCTAGGTCAGACTGGCAAAGCTCTGCCTTGACTCCACGTACTGCTCACAGCTTCCCGCTGCAGCCAGATGCTTCCTTTGCTTTGAGAACTGTCCCTGGGAGAGGGTCCTTTGGAGGGCAGGTGGATGCCTTTCCAGCCCCAGAGTCTCATGGCTCCTCTCAGAACCCTCCTCTTGCCAGGGCTGCTCCTGAATTTAGGATTCTCCCGACAACCTCATAGCCTCCTGCTGAGGAGTGTGTACTGCATGGTTATGGAATTGCTAGAGCCAGTTACGCAGCCAATGGGCCGTGGGTTATAACTCATGGAAGACATGACCCTGGCTGTGTTCCTGCATAATGTGCTCCAGCCAAGTTCAACCTTGATGCTCAGGCAGCCGAAACTTAAACTTCCCAGAAATCAAGCTTGGAGGGCCCTGCAACAGTGGCTGGAATTGGACAAATTCCATTTAACCATGTGGACAGGTACTAGTGGTGCGTACCGCGCTCAGTGGTCTGGACCCTGCCTATGAGTCACGTGGAGTCGGGCAGGGCCTAGCAAAGGCCCCTTCCCACGGACCCATGCTCAGCCCGAGTCCAGGCAAGGTGTCCACCCCTCCTTTCTTTCAACGAGTAAAATGTTGAGCATTCGCTATGGGTCAAGAACTTCTGCTGGGCACAGGGGATACTTAAGTAATCAAGACAGGTTCGGTCCTTGTTTCCACTGTGTGCACTTAGCAGAGGGAGGAAAGACACTAAATAGCATTAAACAAGTCACTAATGTGGTTTCAGATTGTGATAAGTGCTATGACTGTAATAAATGTGGCTGACTGGGATATGGCCGGGCTCCTTAGACAAAGTACCCAGCGGCCATGTCTCGGAAGATGTGATATGAACTGAGCCCCAAGTTGTAAGAAGGAGTTTACTGCATCCGTCTGGGGAGGGGCCTTCCAGGCAGAGGAGACAGTCAGTGCAGAGGCCTTGCAGTGTGAGGCAGCTTGACGGGGTGAGTACCCTGGGGAGCAAAGCCAGGCTCCCCCACCAGGCTCCCCCTGGTGATGACCAGGCCGAGCCCAGAGTCATCATGGGCAGTTTCTATTCCAGTCCAAATGCAGGGGGCACTACTGGGGAGTAGAGAATAAGTCAGGAGATGTATTAGAAAGTCCTGGCATCATACAAGAGAGAGATCATGATGGCCTGGACCAGGGGAGTGGAGAGGCATCCATTTGCCATCTGACAAGTGTTTACTGGGCAGGAACTCTCTGCCCGACGCTAGTCTGAGTTTAGGGGAGGAAGGCAGATTCATTCTCTGCTCTCATGGGCTTCCCTTGAGTGAAGGAGACTGGAAATTCAACAAACAATCAGGGAGTTATATGATCTATAACAGATGGGGGACTATATGAAAGTGCTGAGGCTGCCATAACAAAATACTTAGCACGGTCTGGGGGGCTTTGACAGAGAGCACGTCCCATGCTTGGAGGCTGGGAGTCCAAGATGAGGTTGGCACGGGCTCTCCTTTGCTTGTGGACGGCCCCTTTCTCAGTTTGTCTCCACACGTGTGTCTGTGAGTCCAGATTTCCTTTTCTTATGAGGTCACCAGTTAGGTTGGATGAGGGCCCCATTAAGCAAAAAATGACTCATTTTAATTTAATCAGCACTTTTGAGACTCGATCATCAAATGCAGTCCCAGGATGGAGCATCGAGCATTAAGCCAGGTGAATTTGGGGGGTACACAAGTCAGCCCGTAGCAGATGGTAAGCCATGCTATGAAGAAACATGAAGCAGAGACAGAGACAGCGGTGGACTGATTCAAGGTGCATTTAGGAGGTAAAGCCAGCTGGGTCCACATGATGGGTTGGCTCGGGAGCTAGAGGCATCAAAATGGTGCATCCCCACTGTGGCTTCAGCTACTGGCGTGCGCTCCGGTGGTGTGAATCAGGGGAGAATTGAGTCTCGCCCTCCAAGGTACTAACCGTGCATGTGTCCTGGGGACTGCTCACGGGATCACTCATCATGCAGCCTGCTGGTGGCTTCCGGACTGTCCATTGGACTGCTAGTTCTTATTCTCCAAATTCCGGCCTCAATATTAGTGCTTTTATAACTTCACTCAGATTCTGGAAAATTTAAGTAGATTGAGAAACGTGCATCCTCTTCATGTCAGGCTTTTTAATTCTCCACTTCCATCCTCCCAAACTTTATCTCTGTGATCCTGTGGTCAGTATTTATCAACAAGTGTTCCAAAAGTTCCAGGGGGTAGTTAGTGCCCACTTTGTGATTGTATTCTTGATCGACTTAAGCTGAAGTGAGGGCTTTAAATGCTTGCCTCACAGCTCCCAAAACAATGACCAGAAGACAGGCGTAATACTCAAAGGAAACTATTTTCTCTTACAAACTGAAACCTCTTGTCTATATTTTATAGCCCATTTAACATTTTTGTGTTATTTGAAAATTCTTCCAGCCACTGCTATTTCTCAGCGTCGGCTGTGAGCAGGGCCATTGCAGTTATGACTGTGGATGAGAAATGTCACCTTCCAAGTTTCTTGCTCCTGAGCTGGCTTTTAGAATTTTATAAACTTTTCTTTTCCGTACCACCCTTGTGGGACAGTGTCACCAAGTGTCTGTTCCACGTTTCAAATGTATGTGCCGAGCTTTCCCCTCAATTGTGTGGCTTCCTACTGGGCGCTGTCAGGTTTAAAGAGAGAGATAAAGGGCACAATAATATGTCTTCAGATGCCTCAGTGACATCTGCGGGAGTTTAAATGTCACCCACATCAAGGCATTTTGCCCCAAATGCACAGCCATTTTCTCTTAACCCTGCTCGGTGGGATCCCATTTTTGGGGTGCTGGTACTCAGCAGCGGGGAGTGAGTGTGCAATGCTTAAAACCACACATTGGTGAAGGTCTGGGTCCTGAGGTCAACTGTGTTCAGCTGCTGAATCAACTCAGCTGCTGATGAGTTGGAGCTGGTGGAATAATTTTTTTCTCCCTGAGCTGTAGGTGCTAGGGAAAATAACAGTTGAGAGAGCACAGGGCTCAGAAATGAACTGGAATGGGGGGTGGGGGGAGAGGAGGAGGATCAGAGAGATCAGGAGCTCAGAGCAGTGGACTGAACAAGTCCCCAACCGAAGAGAATATCCAGAGAGAGAAATCTGTCCTGATCCGGGGATGAGACCAGGGCTCAACAATCAGAGACCACCATTATTTCATGGCGATGAATATTAAGATCAGGGGGGCCGTTAAGCCTCTAAATTCTCTGCCACTGAACCTAGAAGGGAGGGAGGAAGAGGGATGGAAGATGAAAGAATTAAGGCAAAAGGACTGCTGCATCAGAGGAGAAGGGGGAGTGAGAAGATAGCAGGGACATCGACCCAGAGAAGATCCATTTCTAGTTGCATACATCCCAGAGGTTAATTTGTTTGCCCGGTGTCCCCCAAAAGTAAGGTAAGGCACCCCTTTATAAAACCCAGTACAAAGCTTCCCAACATTACTGAAAAGGCTCTGAGCTTGAATGCAGAAAGGAATGTCCCCTTCCCTCTTTAAACCTGTGGCATAAACGGACTTTGGGTTCACAATGTCTCCCTGTGAAGAATTGACTTGAACTGATCGTTCCAAAAATAACTTTACAAATTACACAGGAGAGCAGAAAGGAAACAATTTCAGACAACCAAAGCAGCATGACTTTTGTCAGATTGACTAGAGGCAAGGAATCTTCAACTCTGAGAAGCCCCCAAGGAGAGAGCTTCCTTGGGCCTTGACTTCTGGACTCCACTCTAGTTGTGGGGTCCCAAGGTAGCATGAGGGGTCTCTGAGCTGTTGTTATCTTTTTAAAAACCTGGGCAGAAGGGATATGCTTTGGCATCATGTGTCTTCCTCATCTCCCCAAGGTTGTTGGTTTTCCTGGGTTGTGCAGGCAGTGATGCCATTTGGTAGACCAGATAGTTGAGGGTGAAGCCGATGGGGACAAAATGTTAAGAAAAGGGATCACTTCTGATAAAATATTTGGGAGCCGTGACAGGAGCCTGGACACAGCCTTGCCTGTGAACCCTTTCCTGGGACCTTGTGGTTCAGGTGGCCCCACTGACCTCCCATTGCCCAGGCAGCAGGAGAGTGTGCGTGGTAAGTGCTGACTTAGAGGCTAAAATGGGCCTGGTCTGAGTTCCGTTCCTGTCATTAATGCTGTGTGGCCTTGGCACATTAAATACATTAAACTTGGTGAGCCCCGTTTTTGCTTCTCTAAGAGGGAACTAATAATAGGGTTTGCTTTACAGGGATGTTATGCAGTTGAATTAGATAAAGTATCTAAAGCGTTTTTCACGGTACCCGGCATGGTGGGAGCTTTCAATAAATAACATTATCATGATTATTTGTCTGTCTGGATATTCGGCTCCCTCTGGAAAGATGCCCAAAGGCCCTCGTTGAACCTCCTCGATCCCCTCAACAACCCTCCATTGGGTCTTGCATTGTGGGAAGTTGGTGACTGGGTCAGCGTTAATTTGGTCGATGTGCTAGGGACCCTTGGCATTTTTGTACCTCAGTGAAGACACTCATTCTTCTGGGCATAGGTTATGTACCCACTCACCTTTGAAGAACTCAGTCAAGTGGGGACTTACCTTCCCAAACGAGGAAAGAGATGAGCCCAAGTTAACCAGTGTAAAACTTACGTTTGCTTCTAGAGTTGCTTGCTTATGGACACTGAGTTTCATCTGAACGTCATTTCTTCCGTTGGGCCCAGGCCCCAGAGTGAATGTCCTGCCTCCCTCCCATCCTTAGGAGGCCCTGTAGTTAGAGGGAGAACGTAGGCTCTGAATGTTTCCTGAATTCTCTGAGCCGCCGTTTCCTTACTGTGAAATGGAGATGATATCGCCGCCACCTGCACTGGTGTGAGTTACTGTGTAGACAGTAGGCCCATGTGGCAGAAATCACAGTCCTCACCAAGTAAACGAAAGCTACTAGTAGTCTCCTCTGCTTTTCCACTCTCCTCCCCTCCCCTTCCTCCTCATCATCTTCCTCATCAGCATCTTCGCCAAGGCCCAGCGTGGAGGCGTGAGGCCCACGGCGCTTCACTTCAGCTTTCTGCTTTCTGCTCAACCAGGCTACAGGGAGGAGTTTTTTGTGCTGAACCCTTCCCTCGGCTTCTTCTGCACATCGCATTGTTGCCCAGCAGTTACTAATGTGGATCTGAGGTTCTCAGAGACCTGGATTCATGGCTCGGCTCCCCCACTTTCTGGCTGGCTGATCATGCCAAAGTATGTAATTTTCTGACCTGTGAAATGGAGATCCTGCCCACCTCATGGATTTTTGGGAGATTTTAGGCAAGAGGATGTATATAGAGAGAGCTCTTGGGACATGTAGTAAGGCGTGGCTTATAGTAAGTGATCTATCAACAGCAGCTCTTCCCCGAGCCAGGCCACTTCCCAGAATTCCACCCTGCCCGGTGTCTCTCCTGAGCTGCCGTGTGCCCACAGAGGAGGGGGTTCAGGCTGTTGAATTCTGTCCTCACATGGTCTTTGGTTTCTCTCTTAGGAAAAGCACCTCACTTTCTGCGGCTCCAAAATGTCGAGGTGAACGTGGGGCAGAACGCCACATTTCAGTGCATTGCTGGCGGGAAGTGGTCTCAGCATGACAAACTGTGGCTCCAGGTAAGGACGGGAGAGGCCCCTCCTTGCCCCTGCTCATCCCTTTGTAAGGGATGGGTGTGTGTGCTGTGGTGAAGGACTTGGTGGGGAAGGGGAAGGGATATATTTTGCATACCTCTGCTCCTTGGGTGATATTTAGCATCCATGATCCTCTTAAATGTTAACTCCAGATATGTACCCATTTACAGATGGAGGAACTGAGGCCACAAACATTGAAGTACCAGAAGTAGACCTTTCCAAATAGCCATTGAACAAACTTTATCCTTTAAGCCCTGATTCCCAGGGCTAAGGCAAACTGATATTTTAGATTCTGGGTACATTTCCATTTCCATATGACTTTTAGAATCACTTTGTCAATTTCTACAAGAAAAACCTATGGGAATTGCTTGCAGCGAATCTATAGCTCACTGGGGAAAAAGTGACATCTTAGCAATAATAAAAGTGACATCTTTTGACCATGAACATGGTATATATCTTCACTTATTTAAGATCTTCAGTAAGTTGCCCTGGCTGGTGTAGCTCAGTGGATTTAGTGGCGGCCTGTGAACCAGAGTCACTGGTTTGATTCCCACTTTGGGAACACGCTGGGGTTGTGGGCCAGGTGCCCAGTAGGGGGCGCACGAGAGATGACAGCCCATTGGTGTTTCTCTCCCTTTCTCCCTCCCCTCCCTCTCTCTAAAAGTAAATAAATAAATCAATCTTAAGAAAAAAAGGATCTTCAGTAATTTCACTCAGCAAGGTTTGTAATTTTCGGTGCACAGGTCTTACACATCTTTTGTCACACTTATCCCTAAGCATCTCACATTTCTGGTGCAAGTGTAAAAGACATTTAAAATTTTCAATTTCTGATTTTTTATTTCTAGTACATAGAAATCCAGTTGACTTTCATATATTGATTTTACATTTTGCAACCTGTTAAATTTACCATGACAACTTAAATTTAAATTATTTCAAATAAAACTCAGAACGCGGGTGCCCGGCTGCACTAGCCACATTTCAGGCACACTGTAGCCACGGTGTCGGTCAAGTGCATTTTCGATATGGCAGAAAGCCTAATCGGAGAGCACAGCTGTAGAGAGACAGCACTTCTGGTTCCGGGGAATGGGAGCATTGCCTGAAAGAAGCTGACTCCAGTGTCTGCCAGCTTCACCTATGGAAAGACCTCCATCGTTTCTTCTGGTGGATGCAGTTGGGCTATTTGGTCCCTGACTCACGCCCAGCACACTTTGATGCGAATTCATAGCGCGGCATCTCCTCTTGTCTTTGGGCACATCTCCTGCAGCTGGAAAGTCCCCGGGCATGAAGCCCATCTGGCGGCCAGCAGTTCTTCCTTGCTTCTTAGCAGGGTAGCAGAATGAAAATAGCAGTGGTGCCTGCCCACCTTGCCGCCCCAGCTGCATACGGACCACAGGAGAGCAAAGCACACTTCTGCGTGTTGGTCTAGTATTAAGTAGTGCTGTGTACACTTCTCATTATTCTTGGCATTAAAGTGCATCAGGCTCCCAAGAAGCTTTGTCATTTTAATGGCATTGCCCGAGTTGAGTCACGAGAATGGGATGGGACAGTCCTGGGTACCTTTGTGTGGGCTTCCCAATTATTTGACGGTTGTTAACTGCCACACTTCGGAGTTGCACGCCCTAAGCGTTGGGTCTCTCAGTGGAAGGATGTGGAAGCAGGATGCAGTTGCGGTTTTGAAGGATACGCTGGAGCCGGAGAGAATGCTAGAATGGCGTTTCTCCACGTCCGCCGCTTGCGTGTGCCCCAGCCCCGCAGCCGCCAACGGAATCGAGGCAGCTTGTCAGAGACACGGTTCACGATGGCCACAAGATAAACGCACACCAATTGCTTGGGAAAGTTCTAACTGTTGCTCACACAGGCAAGACAGGAATTATTCCCAGGAGTCCTCATAAGGAAACAGCCTGTGATGTAAGGACCGGCATTCTCGGCTGCAGTCTTATCGAGGGCACACGAGTCAGTCTCACGGGCCTGCAGCACGTGATGATGCTCGGTGTGACAGCGATTTGGGGGTGTGGCTGGAGAGGCAGTGGGGTGGGCAGTACGGTTTGACAGAGGCCCCTAGCTCTGTGCCGATCCATCTTCATCCTGGGATACTTTAAGTGTGTCTGGTGAGTAAACTGATTCAATATTTCTTCGAGGAAACCTCCCCAAATACTGTCTCCCTCATCTATATTTCAGGAAGTGTATGTGCTGTGCTCTCTGGCAAATGCCTGCTGGGCCAGTTAGGTCCAGACTTATATCCGAGAGCGTGCTTGGAAATAAGTTAGCGTCTTTCTACAAAATATGAGGTGCTTGTTGTGGCTGTAGCCGGACAGAGACAGAGGGCTAGGGCAGCAGCAGGTTTCTTATGCACCGTGGCTTTGGGTCTGCTCCCACACCTAGAGGGGCAGCCTGCAGACCTGCCAGAGTTCTGCTCCATTTAACAGGGCTGGGGCGACTGGCCTGCGAATTTTCAGAGGAACTGAAGTGGACACATGGGGACCAGGAGGCGCCACAAGACAGTTCCAGCAGTGCTACCTCTCAGCAATGCCATTTCCTGCTGTCGCTTCCGAGATAAGCTGAGGAATCACTGAGTCAGCAAAGCAGAAACTTTTTTATCTATGGGTTTTGAGAAGAGTATGTCAGTGGCTCTTCTTTCTGGCAATGGTTGGGGAGCAGTCAGTGGGCTCACAGTTCGGAAAAATCCCATTGTCTGCATTGTGGAGACTTGCCTTCATTTCTGTGGAGTGGGACTCTGCTCACCCTTAAATGGGTTCAGATCATAAATAATAAGTTAAAAAGGAAGACCAGCCTGTGTGCCTGCTTTCCACCCTCCTGACAACTCAGTACACTCCTTATTTTTTTAAATTTTTTTATTGATTATGCTGTTACAGTTGTTCTGTTCCCCCTTTCATTCCCCTCCATCCTACCCCCCGTCCCCACCATTACCCCCCCTTTAGTTTATGACCATGTGTCTCAAGTTCTTTAGATTCTATATTTCCCATGCTATTCTTGCCCCCCATCTATTTTCTATCTACTGTCTATGCTACTTATTTTCTGTACCTTCTCCCCCCTTCTCCTCCTCCCACTCCCCTGTTGATAACCCTCGAGATCTTCATTTCTATATTTCCACTCCTGATCTAGCTGTCCTTTTAGTTTGCTTTTGTTTTAGGTGTGGTTGTTAATAATTGTGCGTTTGTTGTCCTTTCACTGTTCATGTTTCTTTAACCTCTTTTTCTTAGGTAAGTCCCTTTAACATTTCATATAATAAGGGCTTGGTGATGATGAATTCCTTGAGTTTGATCTTATCTGAGAAGCACTTTATCTGCCCTTCCATTCTAAATGAAAGTTTTGCTGGATAGAGCAATCTTGGTTGTAGGTCTTTGGATTTCATGACTTGGAATACCTCTTTCCAGCCCCTTCTTGCCTGTAAGGTTGTATTTTTAGGGAAAGGATAAGGGAGGGAAAAGAGAGGGCAATAAACATCTATTGGTTGTTTCTCATGCCCCATCTGGGGACCCGCCCCACAACCCAGGCATGTGCACTGACCCGGAATCAAACTGGCGACCTCTTGGTTTGTGGGACTAAGCTCAACCCAGACAGCCACACTGCTCAGGGCCTGGGGACTTACTGTGTTCTTACTACTCTCTGCTGGCGCCAGCTTTCATGGAATTACAGTGCGAGTCTCCCATCCTGAGCCCAGAACAATTCTAATCCTTTAGGTCACCAGGTGGCAAACACAAGGCCTGGGGGCCAAATCCAGCCTCCACCTTGTTTCTACCCAGCGGCAGCACCGAGCTCTTGCTTAACGGTTAAGGAGCAGTTACATTTATACTGCGCTAAAATTATATCCAGTCCTTTGAAGGCAACCGCAAGGCTGATGTGGCCCCCGGTGAAAACAAGTTTGACACCCCTGCCCTAGGGAAAAGGTCAGTAAAGGCCCAATACGAGTTATAGGCCAGCTCATCTTGTTCTGGGATGACGTCTCCCTGAGGCGAAGCATACCCATGGGCAGGGCGGGAACTCTGTGGCCTCCTGCCTGACTTGCTTCTTTCTTAGGTGATATACTGACCTCTAGAACCCAATTCGGCAGTTTTTCAAGCATTTTTGTCATGCAAATGGATGGTGTGCACTCTGAGTAGAATGCCCAGTCCAAGGCCCGGGGAGTGTTTAAAGGAAGGGAAAAGAACACCATTCAGGGTGTGAGTAGGTCTGACGGTGGCTGCTGGATCCGCAGGGTGGCACAGCGCTGTATGTGGGCCCATGTGTCCCGGAAGGCAACGTGGCCAAAGAGAAGCCAGCAAGTGCTTCCGTAAGTGAAGAGATGTGTGAAAACCCATGGTATTTACAGCGTTCAGTACCATCCACAATTTCAGCATCCACTGGGGTCTTGGAACTAATCCCCCATGGATCTGAAAGGGGGACTACTTTATACACACATATAACCACATATTTATAAACACACATATGCACATGCCTCTATACATAAACATGCATATAACACTATGAAACATATATTGAGGCATTTATTAATTGATCGTAAAGTTAGGTTATGTGTGCTTTTTATTTGGATCTCTATTCTGTTTCACCTAAATACGCTAAAATGAATATAGGTAATGACTATCAACAGAAAAGATGCTAGTAAAGAAGGGGAAAACGACAGGAATATTCTAAGGATGGTAGGTGGCCTTGGCAGGGCTTCAGGGCAGGCAGTTCCTCAGTAGGAGGCCCCCCATTTAGGCTACAGGTAAAATTACCCTTGGGTTTCCCCCACCCCCTCATCACCGTCATCAGATGGTCCTCATCCATGAGGGAGTTCAGCAGTATTTCACGTGTCACCCGGGCTTTATGGGAGACCGTGACCCCTGGGGGCCATGTTCACACTTCTTAGGAGCTCCAGAGCAGGGTCCATCAGCTCCACCGCAGGGCCGATTTCCAGGCATCTCTGCAGAGGCTTGGCTCCACCAGGAGTTTCTGCAACAAATAACATTTGAAGAGTCTCAGAA